TCGGATCCTGAGGAAATCATCCAAAAGGAAGAGAAAAACATTAAAAAGCAATTTACACCCAGGCATGCATAGCAGCTCTGTCCGCGAGAGCCAGAGGCTGGCCAGGGCCCAACTCAGGCTGGCCCGGGCTGGCCACTGCCCACCAGTGACCTGGGCACTGTGGGGGTGGGGGCAGAGGCTTCTGGTCCCAGAGATAGGGCCATGGGGAAGCACCTGCGATGTGTGGGAAGACCCAGCCCTCACTTCCACCCCCAATGTGCAGCCTGGACCAGCCACTTTCCTGCTCAGACCCCTGGGTCACCGTCTGGCCTTGGGAGCTCCCTGACCCCAAAGGTCATCTGGCCCCATGGCAGCTGGCTGATCAGACACCAGCTCGGGTGACGGAGGGGAAACTGAGGCGCATCAGGCCGTGAGGGGTCAGCTCGCAGCTCTGCTGCTCAGCCCCAGGGGTCCTCAGCTCCTGCTGAGACCCCAGCATGGAGACCAGGTCCTCCCCGCGGGGTGTGAAGTTGGAGTGGAGCGGGAGGCAGCCAGGAATCAGGGAGTAAATCCTGGAGGGATTAGAGGGATTAGGCTCTAAGCTGGGGCTGCACAGCAGGTGTCACAGATTAAGAGACAGAGATGCCAGCTCCCCTGCCAGGGACGCTCACTGGCCAGAGAAGCCTAGGGCAGCAGCAGCGATGAGACCATCCTGGGGCACCACAGGCAGGGGTGGGGGGGCGCAGGGCTGCGGCTCAGGTGCCCTGGGATGGCTGGATGTGGGGTGAGGGTCAGAGGCTGGGCAGCAGGAAGCTGAGCAGGGACCCCTAGGTCACAGTAGGGCAAGTTTCCCAAGCAGGGAGTTGGGGAAGAAACAGGGGAGGAGGGCCCCCAGCCACCCTGATCCCTCCTCCCACACTCCCTAGGAGAGGCTGGTGACTGACCCCTGCCATGGCCACCCAGCAGCCACCGTGGGGGACTGGAGGATGTGGCCCCCACCCCCTGTCTTTCAGCAGCATGGCACATATGTGCTGTGGACTGGAAGAGGCCCACGCAGAGCTGCAGGGTGGGCAGAGCTGGGGCCAGGACCTTCCCCTACCCAGAAGGAGGCCCACCAGAGGCCAGCAGGACCCTCAGAGTCAGCGCAGCTGCCACCATACCATCTAGCCCAAGCTCCCTTCTCCTCGAGTGTCCTCTGCCTGGGACCCCTCCTTCCACCTGCCCAACTCTGCCCGGGACCTCCTGCCCCTGGAACCAGAACAGCAGCATCCCCAGCTTGGCAAGCAGGGGTCCTCAAGGGTCCTAGGTGGGCTCAGGCCAGTTTATTGAAGAGGAATCGGGGGCAGGAAGCAAACTTCATGCTCGAGGAGGGGACAGCACCGGCCTGGGATGGGCCCCGTGAGGAAAAGAACAACGTGAAGGGGACATGGAGAGGACCCTGGCCAGCACCCCACACAGACGGACACACAGACACAGAGGGACACATGAGACACAGACACATGCATGAGCACACACAGGTACTTGTCCAAGTCCATAGGAGAATGAACTTCAGTGTTTGCTTTGGTCCCACTCGGTCCAGCAGCCCCTGGCACTCATGCTGTCCACTGCCTGTCCCTGGGTCTGTCCCATTCCCACAGGCCTGGAGAGGGCCCCTGCCCTGCCGTGCACCTACCACACCACGGCAGAAGTCAATGTTCTGAATTAAGCCGGTGCCCGCAGTGTGGCTGTGTCTCTCTGGGATCCCAGAGTCTGGGGGCACATGGTGACCACAGCAGGGCCTGAGGCCCCAGCGACTTTGCTGGGAAACTTTTAGGTCCCTTTTTAAAATGTGGCTAATCAGAGCCAGCGCCCCACATGAGCACTGGTTTGAGTCGCAGCTGCTCCACTTCTGATACAGCTCCCTGCTATGGCCTGGGAAAGCAGTGGAGGGTAGCCCAAGTGCTTGGGTCCCTGCATCCACATGGAGACCTGGAAGCAGCTCTTGTCTTCAACCTGATCCAGCCCCAGCTTTGGCCAACTAGGGAGTGAACCAGCAGATGGAAGACCTCTATCTCTGTAACTCTGCCTTTCAAATTAATTAATTGGTTAATCTTAAAAAAAATAATAAATAATGTGGCCACTGGGTCTCATGTTGCCCCCCCCCAGCCCCCAGGGACGATTCATTTGTCTGGCTGGCCCCTCACTTGGTCACAGCAGTTGAAGAGCCCTCGCCGCCCACAGCATCTCCCACCCACCCTGGGGACAGCTGCCCCAGCAGCAGAAAGTCCAAGACCTCTTACTGCCCAAGGAAGGGACGACTGACTCAGTGCCCAGCCTCAGCCCTGTACCCACTCCCCGCCCATAGGCGTCCTGCTGGTGGTGGCGGTCATGCTGGAGGCAACTGGGCTGGAGGGGAGACGCAGCCCTGTGACCAGATGGCACTGGGCCTGGGCCAAGAGCAGGAAGCCCATGGCTCCTGACCGTCCTGCATCAAACACGGGACCACTGAGCCGACCCACCTGAGCTTTCCCGAGCTAGACAGGGGTTGGCAAGTTCAGGCTGCTGGCGGGGTCTGACTGCACCGCTGGGAACCGGACTTTGTTCCACGGCCCTGGACCCCAGAGTCTGCAGTTCTCAAGCACTGAGGGTGGGGAGGGGTCAGGAACCAGAAGTTCTCAGACCCTGCTCTGCAGGCCTGGGTAGGGGGCCTCCGGGAGCAGGAGAATCTGGGCTCTGTGGGCCCAGGCTCGGGCAAGGACTGCCAGGGCAGAGGGCGCGGCGGGCCTGGGCGCTGTCCACGGTGCTTTAGTCTCCCACTCCCTGAGCGCAGGCCAGGAGGGCCCCAGAGGCGCCCCACTCACCCCGCCCGCGCACGCAGCCGGACACACCCGGTGCATGCCTCCTGCACCACTGGGCCCGCGTTCCCCGGAGCCCCGCGCCCGAGGCCCAGCTCACGTTCATCTCGCCCGGGAGAGAGGAGTCCACTCACAGCGGCCCGGCCCTGGACCCTGCCCAGTGCCTGGGCGCGCACGACCCGCTCACGCCTCGGTGGCTACATGCCCACCTTCACCCTGCACAGCTCCCGCGGCTCCCGGAGACGCCGAGCCCCGCCCCCTCTCAGGCTCGCGGGCCCCACTTAACCCCATCCCCGCCCGCCCGCCCTTCCTCTCTCGAAGGCCGGGTTGCCCTCCACTCCTCCTCAGCGCACAGCCCCGGGCTCTGCCGCCGTGTCCTGTGACAGGGGGAGAGGGTGCCCCCCGAGGACGGCCGGCGCGCTAGCTGAAGTCGCCGGGCTGGTGGATGATCCAGGCCCCCGCGGACTTGCGCTCTTGCTCGCACTCCACCGCCATCTGGCTGCTGAACATGCGCAGCGAGAACTTGTTGACGCCCGGCTGCAGGAGCGCGCCCAGTTGGCGCTACATGAAGCTGGCCGGGCTGCCGCGTGGTTCCCCGGCCGGCCCGCCTCCTCGCTGCCCGCCTCCGCCGCTGGCCCCGCGCCCGCGGTCGCCCCGCTGCACGAGAACACCACCTTGGGGCCGCGCGCCGGGCCCTAGGGCCCCGCGGGGCTGTACTGCGGGTCGCCGCGCCCGCACTAGCCTTGCGGGCTGCCCTTGGCCGCGCTAGCCACGCCGGGGGTGCCCGAGCCGTCGCACCAGCTGTCCCGGCTACAGAGCCGGGCGGGTGAGCCGCCTTCGTGCGCTGCCCTGGGGGCCATGGGCCAGGGCCGGGCGGGCTCCGCTGGGGGTGCGGGGTCAAGGGGCGGCGCGGGCAGCTGCTGCTTGGGGGGGGCGCTGGAGGGTGCAGGGGTCTCGCCCAGACTCTGGACTCTCCCCGGGCTGCCCGCCGCCCCCGCGCGTCCTTAGCGAGGCGGCGCAGGCAGGCGGAGCAGCCGCCGTCACCGCTGGCCCGGGCCCGAGCCCGAGGGAGGGGCGCGGAGTCTCCATGGCGGGGCCGAGGTTGGGGGGGGTCGCCCCGCCTCTGCCTGCACCCCCTGCCCGCTCGCTGTGCTCTGGCGGAGGAAACTGAGGCCGCGGGGTCGGACGCCCAAGGTTACGCAGCCTTGGGCCCGCGGAGGCAGCCGAGGGGAAATTGAGGACCAGCACTGTGGCACAGCAGATTATTACCCTGGCCCGAAGTGCCGGCATCCCATATGGGCGCCGGTTCTAGTCCCAGCTGCTCCACTTCCAATCCAGCTCTCTGCTATGGCCTAGGAAAGCAGTAGAATATGGCCCAAGTCCTTGGGCCCCTGCACCAGTGTGGGAGACCTGGAGGAGACTCCTGGCTCCTGGCTTCAGATCGGCACAGTTCTGGCCATTGTGGCCAATTGGGGAGTGACCCAGCGGATGGAAGACACCCCCCCCCCCGCCTACCCTATGTGTAACTCTCTCAAGTAAAAATAAAAAAATCTTTTAAAAAAGAGGATGATAGGGAACTTATGTGATCTTTCTTCTAGTAAGAACTTTTTAAAATTTATTTGAAATGCAGTTTGAGAGAGAGAGAGAAGGAGAGGGGGAGAGAGAGACAGATATTCAATGTACTCCCCAAATGGCTGCAATACCCAGGACTAGGCCAGGCCCCACTCAGGAGCCAGAAGCATCCTCTGGATGTCCCAAGGGGGTGCAGTGGAACAAGAACTTGTGCCATCTCCCACTGCTTTCCCAGGCCTTCAGCAGGGAGCTGGATCAGAAACAGTACAGTTGGGACTCAAACCAGAGCCCATATAGGGTTGCAGGCACTGCAGACAGCAGCTTAGCTCACTGTGCTACAGTGGCAGACCCCCCTTTCTACTGCTACACCACTGAACATTTTAGCAAAGGACAAATCCCTTTGTCTTATCCTTACAGAGAAGGCTCCATGTAAAATGACATGATCTTCAAACTCATGAAGGTCCTCAACTACAGATAATGCCTGATATTTGATATTTGGGAAAGCCAACTTAAGTCAGCATTAAGTCTATGATTCTGTAGGTTCTTTACATGAGAAAGCACCAACTCCAAGGATAAAAAGGATTAGGAAAAATATTAAGGACTCTATTGACAGGCTACTGTATCTGCATTATTTTAGTTTGGACACTGTTTCCAAAAATAATAATTGTCTTTCTTTTGGAATTGGGCTGCAGCCCACCAGTGGCCTCCAGTTACTAAACTTGTACACTTGATATGACTGACTTTTGTGCAGTGAAAATAGGTGCAGGGCAGGAGAACTGCTTCCCTTTCTAAAATCTCTTGCCTACTGAAAAGATAAGAGTATCCATGAATGTCTGTGCCTGGATTCTAGAAGATTCTGAGAGTTACAAAGTGTTCAGGGAGAAGAGAAGATATAAATATATGATCTGAGGTGGTTTTTCCCCTGCCCTTGAAGAGCAATGAGGCCCTAGGCAGGGAGAATTAAAGGATGCACTCAGAAAGTAACACACATGTATGTAACTCCATCATTCTATACCCACTCTGTAAGCCAAGCACTAGAAGGAGAATGAGTAAAAAGCCTCAGAATGCGATTCATTTCTGAGGTGGACACCATTTATACTTTACCTGTGTGTTTGCAGTAAAGCTAGGGTACAGAGGAGCCTGAGGATAAGTCCACATATACTCTCCTTCTGAGATCTCATGTCTCACTGGCCACTGCTGTCTTGCTAGCCAGGCACCAGGATTCATTTCCAATCTATGGTGCCTCTGGAGGACACACAATGTGCAGGGCTGGTGTAGTGGGAAGACTTGCTTCCAAACAGCTGCTTGGCAATCTAGCTATGAGGGCACGAGGGACAGTGCTGTTACCTGCACAGAAACAGAAGAGAAACAGGGCAGGATCAGCACAATGTGTGTAATTCCTAAGAACTGAGACTGGGGATGGGTGGGATGTCAGAGATCCCGCTCCAATGCAGGATTCTCGTTAGATGAAGACTCATAACCTAGACCCTATAACTGTCACACTTTATATTTCCTCACATGAGTAACCACAGAGCAGCAGAGTTATCAAGTACACAAAGGAAAAATGCAGTGACCTATTCCTTCTCCTACTGTAACTGTTCATGGGACAGACCATGTACAGTCCAGAAAGGACTGCCAAACATTGGGGTCAAGTGTGTGATGGGATACAATACTGAACACAGGGAGAGCATCCTGTGGATAGGGTGTCAAAAAATAGGTACATTTTCAACCCAGAACAGACAATTACTGTTAACTGACTTGCAGATGTAGCAAAATTCACCAAGCAAACAAGATGTTGTGGAGTAAGCAACTGACAAGGGGAAATGAAAACACACAGAAGAAAGGAGGAAGGTAACTTTGTAACTTAGGGGAGTCCAGGAGGACCCACAGAAATGAGCCAATAAGAAACCAGGGGAGGGACCTGTGTGCTGAGATATAAATCCTTGCTTTAACTGCTGGGGTATGCCTGTTCATCAGACACCTAATCTTGCATGACTGATCATAATGTCTTGCTTTCACTGCACATCCTGAGTGCAAGATCACCTCTTGAATGGACCAGTGAGGATTATTTCCCACAAGGGTTACTTACTTGTCTACAACTACTTGTCTTCTCCAGAAGCCAACCAGCCAAACTTTCCCTTTCCTCCTTGGGGTTTCAGAGGGGGAAACATGACATGAAGACCCCAGTTCCCCCACTGAAGAACTCTTTGCTGAGGCTGCAGAAGGTCCTATTTCAGAAAACTCAAGATCTGCATCCTATCCAATGTGAGTCATGAACTTCAAAATGTCATCACTCCAATACAAAGAATCACTGAATGCTGCCCTCAGAGGGAGGGGGAGCTCTTCATTGAAAACCCTGATGCTTTCTTCCATCCTTCGAGTAGTAGAGTTTTCCTCTGACCCTACCATCTCGGTTTCTATGTAAAAATAATGCCAGTATAAGGGAGATAGTTAGGCTGGACCATAAATAGCAGGTCCTAGTGGTGTGGAACAGCAGTTTTATTGCAGAATACTTGTTGGTCATGGTACTTGATCACAGACACTCTTGTGTGAAATGAAGGCATTCCAAGCTGTGGCTTAACTGACTGCACAACAGCCACCCAGACAGCTTACATTTTAACCAAGAGTAGAGAAGGTTTCATGTTCATCAGCAACAATACTTAGCATTTCCATGTTTCAGTCTACACAGAGCACAAGCCTTCCCCAATGCAAAGTAATCAAGCAATGGACTTACTGTGTGGCGTTGGCTGTAGACACGTTGAGCTGCTCAGAGCACAGAGACTGAACTATGACTTTTGTTTAAGTTGGGTTTTGTCAATGAGGAAGTGGAAGATGAAAATGACAATGGAATGGACATATCGCATGAGAGGAATTGTAATGACAAATCACAAAATCTGCTGAGAAACTAACAGAAGTAAAAAGGATGACTGAAAAATAATGCTAAGTCACTGAATGAGAATTCTTTAGGGCATCAAAGAAAATGAATGGAACAGACTGGAGATATGAATGGGCCACTCCAAATTAAATTTTCAGGGAGGGCGATTTATGTTCAAGTCTTTTGTAATAAAGACAGGGGAGAGAGGCATTACCAAATCTTGGTAATTTCACTTCCTAAGTATCTCTTTAATCCACCCATTGGCGTCTCTCAATACAAACCTGCTATATTGGAACATGTACAGAAATATCTGGTAGTTAACTACATCATTTTAATATACAGTTGCAATAATTTTACTTCACAATTACTTGTACAGGACGGTTTTTCTACAATGTAGGAAACAATACAATGTAAATATGTCCTGAAGAAGCAAGAGATCCCAAAAGGAGAAGAAATTGAAAAAAGCTTTGAGAACCTACTAAATGAAATAATTATTGGCAATTACACAGGTCTTTCATGAGACGTGGACATCCTGATAGAAGAAGCTCAAAGAATCCCAAGCTGACTCATTCAAAAGAAGATCTTACCCAAGGCATCTTGTAGTCAAACTGTCAAAAGTAAAGGATAAGAAGAGAATGCTAAAAACAGTAAGAGAACAGCAACAGTTACACATAAGGGAAAATCAATTAGATTAACTTCAGACCTCCCTGCAGACATCCCACAGGTAGGAACAGAGTGAGACGATATATTCAAGGTTATAAGGGAAAAAAACTACCAACCAAGATTATATCAGCCAAATTTTGTCCTTTAAAAGTGAAGGACAAAAATTGGTATTTTTCAGGTAAGCAAAAACTGAGAATCAGACCAGTCTTACAGGGAATTCTGCAGGAGGCCATACATTAGAAGTAAGCATCACGAAAGCACATGACACTGCCAACTTCAGGAAGTATAATCAGTATTCAGTATTATACAGAAGGAATAATCAGTATTCAATCCACCAAATGACAGGGTTAGCTCTCATCAGTCAGTAATAATTTTGAATGTAAACAGATTAAATTCTCTAGCCAACGACTTAGGTAGGCTGTCCCAAAAGGAGAAACACCATATATGCTCACTGAGCTGTGGTTACTAATAGGGCACCTAATAGGCAATCCAGATAAAAGATTTTAAGATGGCAGAATAGAGAGGGAGCTCATTGCTCTAGTCTAGAAGATAGTTTTAAGAGGGGAAAAAAGTGGAGATTGCAATCTCAAGAAAGGGAAAAAACTTCAGAGGACACTCCATGCAAAGTAGAGGACACTGGATCTGTGTGGAGGGTGTGGACACACAGAACTCAGTAACCAAGTGGCCAAGAGCATCAACACCAGCTTTGGAGAGTGAGCTGAGATCACTGAAGTAGCCCAAGCCACTGGCGATAAAGCTGAGGGAACAGCCTGGAATGAGTTTGGCTTGGAGCCCTGTGGGAGACAGTGTACCTGCCACCTAGAAGAAAAAAGGGGGGGCATATGTTTCTATCTCCCTGAGCCACCCTGCATCAGTATCCTGTAACTAGCTGAAGTATGGCGGGAACCATTTTGGACATACTTATCAGCTGTTCCAGCTTCTGTCCATGTACCCAGCAACCAGCTGAGATGAGACGCCTGAGTCTGGCTGGGAGAACTGACAGGGGTCTGGGCGGTTTTGACTGCGGGAGCCTTGTGTGCTGGGATTGTGAAAACACTGTGGCTGCATGGAAGGGTGCAGGGTGTGGCCGGGTCCCTGAGCAGTCATTCTGGGCTGCTCCACATGCTCAGGTTGCCCTGATTCTCTGGTGAGAGTCATTGCTGCAGGATCCAGGCTCACACTGTGAACTGCACTGATGCTTTGTGTGTTCTTGTGGCAGTGTGGACGAATACAACACTCACTGGGGCTAGAGCTCTGCAACTGGTCTCCTTGGAGCAGAGAAGGTGAGCATGAGAGTATGACAACAGAACTGATAAAACTCTCTCCTCTTACAAAAAAAAGAGAGATTGGCCAGTGCCACGGCTCACTTGGTTAATCCTCCACCTGCGGCACCGGCACCGCAGGTTCTAGTCCCAGTTGGGGTGCCAGATTCTGTCCCGGTTGCTCCTCTTCCAGTCCAGCTCTCTGCTGTGGCCTGGGAAGGCAGTGGAGGATGGCCCAGGTCCTTGGGCCCTGCACCTTCATGGGACACCAGGAAGAAGCTCCTGGCTCCTCACTTTGGATCGGTGCAGCGCACCAGCCGTAGTGGCCATTTGGAGGGTGAACCAACAGAAAGGAAGACCTTCCTCTCTGTCTCTCTCTTATTGTCTAACTCTGCCTGTCCAAAAAAAAAGAGATACCACCACCACCATGTTGATTGCAATACGGTTCACAGCAGCCACAAGGAATAAACATGGATTAAACCAAGATTTCCATCATCAGATGAATTACTAAGGAAAACATGGTATAGATTGACGATCAAATGTTATTCAGGACTTAAAAATAATGAAATTTTATCAAGTGCATCAAAATGGAGCTACTGGAGGACTTCATCTTAGAGAAATCAGCCAGAAAAAGAAAAATACCACATGTATTACCTTACATGTGAAAGTTAACTTTTTGAAAAATTCAAAACACAAAAACCAAAAAAAAATGCCAATGTGTATCACTATTGCTGCAAATATACTCCTAGAAAACACTGTTTGATAACCTGGACAAACCAGTGGTTAAGAACGGAACACTGGGGCCGGAACTGTGGCATAGTGGGTTAAGCATCCATTGTGTGCCGGCATCCCATATGGGCACCAGTTTAAGTCCAGCTGCTCCACTTCCAATCCTCTTCCTTGCTGATGGCCTGAGAAAGCAATGGAAGATGGCCCAAAGGCTTGGGCCCCTGCAACATAGTGGGAAAGATGGAAGAAACTCTTGGTTCCTGGCTTTGCACTGGGCCACCTCCAGACATTGTGGCCATCTGTGGAATGAACCCATATTTATGGAAGACCTCTAACTCTATGCCTCCCTCTCTCTGTAACAATACACTCAAAAAACTAATTTTTTTTAATTTAATGTCCTAAAATAAAAGATCATCATACTTCTCTGGTGGAACTTTATTCTTTCTACCTTTTACCTATGAATATTATGGTTACCCTGAATATTACATGGATTATAATCATATCATGAAAAATAGATGAAAAGAGGAAAGGAAGGAGGGGAAAGGGGGAGAGCAGAAATCCTGGGTTTATTCTTAGAACTGTACCTACACAATGCATGAAATATGTTCTCTTTTCATTCATTTTAAAAATAATTGAAGGGGCAGGGGCTGTGTGGCAGTGTGTTAAAGCCCAGGCTTGAAAGGTGGGCATCCCACATGGGCACAGGATCTAGACTCCACTGCTCCTCTTCTGATCTAGCTCTCTGCTATGGACTGGGAAAGCAGTAGAAAATGGCCCAAGTCCTTGGGCCCCTGCACCCATGTGGGAGACCTGAAGAGGCTCCTCGTTCATAACTTGCGACTGGCTCATTTCTAGCCATGTGGCAATTTGGGAAATGAACCAGCAGAGTGAAGACTTCTCCCTCTATCTCTACACCTCTTTCAGTAATTTTGTCTTTTAAGTAAGTAAATAAATTTTAAAATTTAAATTTTAAAAAGAAAAAAGAATGTTACGTTAGTATAGTTTTAATGATCTGTGATTACTTTAAATTTAGGGTGTATAAATAAAATGGTCATTTTTCCATTCAACTGATTATACTTGTTACTTATATTCCCTATAAACGAGGGTTTCTAATCTTTCCTTATTTTTAGAAGATCTATTTTGTTTTTTACAAAGACATTGTTACATACAGAGAGTGAGAAAGAAGGAGAGATCTTCCATCTGCTGGTTCACATTTCCAGGTCCCCCACATGGGTGCAAAGTCACAAGCACTTGGGCTGCTCTCTCCTGCTTTGGTGCATTAGCATGGAGTTGGATCAGAAATGGAGTATAAACTGGTGCTGTGGCATCACGAGTAAGGGTGCCTTCTGCAGTGCCGGCATCCATATGGGTGCCGGTTTCAAGTCCCAGCTGGTCGACTTCTGATCCAGCTCTCTGCTATGGCCTGGGAAAGCAGTGGAAGATGGCCCAAGTCCTTGGGCCCCTACACCTGCACTAGAAGACCCTGAGGAAGCTCCTGGCTCCTGGCTTCGGATCAGTGCACCTCTGGCCATTTGGACCTTCCAGGGAGTTAACCAGTGGATTGAAACCTCTCACTCACTCTCTCTGCCTCTCTACAACACTGTCTTTCAAATAAATGAATACGTCTTGAAAAAAAAAAGAAGTGGATTAAATGGGACTTGAACAAGCACCCATAGGCGGATGCCAAACATTGCCCCCACCCCCTTTTTTTAGTATCTGAACTTCTTACTTGGTAAAGAATTTAGCATTTTTTACTAAAATGCAAATATAGAAACTGTCCAAAATGGATGAAAGTAAGGAAGGGAGAAAGAAAGGAAGAGGTACACTGGGAGAGACAGCGTTGGAAGGAGAGCAGAAAGAAGGGAATGTTGATTCATAATTGTTCTATAGAACATATTGAAGAATTTTGTTAACCTAAAAAACAAATACATCTACTAGGATGTATTAATCTTTGATGGAGATTTACATAAAATAGGTAAGCACTCAAATTGCAGTAAAATTAAAAATGTAAAATGTGCATGTTCGCAAAATTCTGTACAAGGAAAACATGACTTATAAAAATGTAAGTTTGAAAATCTTTCTGTAGAAATAAACTATAAAGTGAGAGTATAAAACTATATAATTCTGCATAAGTGTTACTCAAAAATAACACTGCATTGAAAAGAAAAACCTAAGGAAGAATTTGCATTCCTAAAATGTACAGTGTGAAATAAGACAAGGTATAATGGCTCATAAAAGCAAATGGAAACATCAGAGATGGTATAAAAAAACATGAGGAATAGGAAGTACTACAAAGTATAATTCCAACATAAGGGGAAGATATTTCAAGAACTCCTACCTGGTAAAGTCCTGCAGGACTCCAGTCATCCCCAGCCCCCAAACACAATGCAACTCCATGAAAGCAGAAGCTTTCACACAGAGCTGCCTAGAAGGATATGGAAAACATACACCACGACAAAGCTGTGCGCAGTTTATCAAAATGTCTTGAAAGACAACAAACTCACAACTCCTTCTTTCCACAAACTTTTCAAAGTACCTCACATTGGCCCCTGCATTACATTAAATAACTAGAATAAATGCTGGCACATAACAGAAACATCTTTGAAAGACAAGAAATACACCTTTACCAAGAGAGTCCTCTGCCCAAATTCAGACTTCTATAAGCTGACCTCAAGCCTCAAATTTCAGTCCAGGCTTGATCAGGTTCTTGTCTTCCTAAGCACAACACCAATCCAGTTTTCTCCCAGATAATCCTCTCCCATCCCTGGTATTCCAGAGACCTTTGTCAAAGTTTCCTGATTGACCATGCACCCATACCACAGTCCCTAAGAAAGACCACACCACACCCATCACCATTTTCTTACCCTCACATTTCCTAAGGTTTTTGCCCAGATGCTGTCCCAGGTCTAACACTCGGAGACTCCACCAGTCCTACCAGTAGACCTACAAGCTCCTCCCTATTACAACTCTACTGAAAGTCAGCAGACCATGGCAGGGAGGGTCATATGGGGTAGCCCCACAGGCATGGGGAAAATGTAGGGGCCTGGTGGGCTTCAGTAGATTTGGAGAGCATGGAGACAGGGATGGATAGGATGTTGGGAATGAGTTCCCCCCGGCACTGCAGAGAATTAGGGGCCAAAGAACATGGTAATAGGGAAAGACTTGGGTATCCAGGAAATGGGAGGGAGACCTGGAGGAAAAGTGTGTGCTGTCGAGTCAGAGTACAAAACCCAAGAAGTCTGGATTAGAGAGACATGTTAATAAAAGTTTGGGTTTTAGATTTCGGGCCTAAGAATGACGGGATGGAGGTATTTAGTGTGGTGTGAGTGGAGGGTTAGATTTCATGGAAGAACCTGGGGCATGCAAGGAGTTGGGAGCTGAAATCAGGTAATTTCTGTATATTGCCACTCTGTGATATAGACAGGGAAATGGAAGGAGTGTATGGAGGAGGTCGGGTGACTTTCATAGAGTTGTAATAGGGCACGGGGTAAGGGCACATCACTGTCAGCCTGGGCCGCCCAACCCCAGGGAATGGGCTTTCCCTTCCCTTCCCCTTGTGCATCCAGACATGGCCACTACTGGGGCAGCCACATCTGCTCACCTGTTGCTCCTCTCCAGGATGAAGGCCCAGCTGGCATTGAGCAGGAAGCTGTGCAGTCTCTCCGGGAAAGGGAGATTACTTGGCAGCTGAGCTTCAGCGTCCACTCTGGGTTAGTTTCACATCCAGATCTTCTGGGAGGGAGGAGGGGAGGCAGACATCACTTCTCGGCTTCTTCATGGCTGAGCCGCTGCCCACCCCCACTGACTCCGAACCTGTGGATTTTGGGGGGGAACGCTGCTGGAAGTCACGGGATCCCATCTCCTTTGAGGCAGCCCCTGGGCATCTCTGTCCTGTTAGCTTAAATGCGCAAGTGCCATCCACTAACACCTCCCCCTTCCTCCCAGGAAACACAGTGTCAGTGGAGGCCAAGCTACCTTGATGAATCAGGGGAAGGTCTTAGCTCTAAATGGCACTGTGGCCCTGTGCTTATCACAATCAGAAATGCTCCATGGACATCGCGATTCCCATCTAGCCCACCAGAATCTCAGGGCAGTATGGAGCTCTCTGGACCTCTGGGCTGACACCCAGACAGTCCCGTTGGTGCAGCGCTCTGACAAACTGCCCGTGGTCAGGGTACTGAATAGGATACCTGCCCCATCCTTGGCCTAGTCGGTGGCCAGGGCTGCTGCCCGGAGTCAGACAAGCAGGCCTGGTGCTGTGTTACAGTACGTTAAAGCCATGGCATGCAGTGCTGTCTTTCCATGTCGGTGCCGGTGTGTGTTCTGGCTGCCCAACTTCCAATCCAGCTCCCTCCTAACATGCCTGGGGAAGTGGTGGAGGATGTCCCAATTCCTTGGGCCCCTGCAGCCACATAGGAGACTCAGAAGAAGGTCCTGGATCCTGACTTCATATTGGCTCAGTTTGGCCATCACGGTCATTCCAGGAGTGTACTGGCAAATGGAAGACCTCTCTCACTCTCATACTCTCTCAATCTCGTTCACCTGCACTTGTTCTGTTTCTCTCTAATTCTTTTTTTATTTTATTGATTTTTTTTGACAGGCAGAGTTAGACAGTGAGAGGGAAAGACAGAGACAAAGGTTTTCCTTCTGTTGGTTCACCTCCCAAATGGCCACTATGGCCATGCTACACCAATCCAAAGCCAGGAGCCAGCTGCCACCTCCTGTTCTCCCATGCGGGTGCAGGTGCCCAAGCACTTGGGCCATCCTTCAATGCCCTCCTGGGCCACAGCAGAGAGCTGGACTGGAAGAGGAGCAGCTGGGAATAGAACCTGGTGCCCATATGGGATGCCGGCATTACAGGTGGAGGATTAGCCAAGTGAAACATTGCCTGCTTTCTCTCGAATTCTTAGAAATAAATGAAATAAATGTTTTTATTAAAAAAAAACATTATTATCTCATTATAGAGACATAACCTGAAAGATCCAATCCCATTCATGATAAAAAAAAAAACTTCCACAAAGTAGGTATAAAAGGAATAGGCATCAAAATCTTAAAGGCTATGTATCACAACTCAACAGCCAATGCCATGCTGGATGGGCAAAAAGTGAAAGCATTTTTGTCAAACATGTAACAACACAAGGATATCCCCTTTTAAAATTCTTACTGAATGCAGTACAGTAAATTTTCACAAGAGAAAGAAGGAAAGAAGAAAGAAATAGCACCTAGATTATAAAAGAGAAATGAAATTCTAAAAGCTTACAGATGGCATGATATGGTACCAGAAAAAACTAAAACAATCCACCAAAAACACTGCTAGAACTGGTGAAACAATTAAGTGAAGTTTCAGGTTATGAATAAACATAGTGTGTAAGCAGCAGTGTTTATACATTAATGATGAACTCACTGACAGAGCAATCAACAAATATCCCAAGGACAATAACCACAAATAAAAAGTTTAGGAAAAATTTAACCAAAGAAGTCACAGAGCTCTAAATGAAAATCACCATACACTGATGAAAGAAATCACCAAGGACAAAAAAGTGGAAAGATGTCTCTTTTGGTGGATTTGAAGAATCAGTATAATTAAAATCTCTACCTTGCCTAATGCTACCTAAAGATTCAATTAAATTTTCATCAAAACACCAATGACGTTTTTTACAGAACTATATACCACAAACCTATAATTCAAACAAAATCACAGAAGATGCAGAATAGATAAGGTGTTTTTGAGCAAAAAGTGAAACAAAGTTAGCCTGGACACCTCACAACACCTGATTCAAAGCATTCTACAAATGACACTAAACAAAATATCATAGCACTTGCATAAAAAGTGACACACAGACCAATGGAAGAGAACAAGGCGAGCTCCAATATTAATCAAAATATGTTCAATACCATATTTTTACAAAAGGTCTCAGACCATCCATTGGAGTTCTTCAACAAGTGGTGTTGCCAAAAATGGATGTATTTGTGTCGAAGATTGAAATTAGATTCATAACTCCAACAAATATGAAAATCAACTCAAAATGGATCAGAGACCTAAATCTATGACCCAGCACTGTGAAGCTTTTTGAAGGAAATACAAAGAAGCTCCAAGACACTGGAATAGGGATGACTCTTAGACAAGACCCTCAAAGCCCAGGCAGCTAAAGCAAAACCAAACAAATAGGATCAAATGAAATTAACAGCTTTGCACAGTGAAGGAAATCATCATAGAGTGAAGAGACATTCACAAGAATGACCAAAATACTTGTCAGCAACCTATATGAAAAGGGTTAATATCAGGAATTCATCTGCAACTTAAAAAAAAAAACACCAATAAAAAACCCAACCAATCCAGTTATGAAGTAGCCAAAGGAGCTCAACAGACAGTTCCCCATCGATACAGATGGCCAAGAAATACAGGAAAAATGCGCAACATCACAAGCTATCAGGGAAATGCAAATCCAACCACAATGAGATATCAGCTCACACGTACATACTGGCTAAAACCCAAAGACGGAGAGTCACAATGAGGAGGAAGATGTGGGAAAAGGGAAAAACTTACCCACTGGTGGTAAAAATGTAAATTAGTGCAGACGCTGTGGAAAACGGTATGGAGATTTCTTAAAAAACCAGACAGACTTGCCATACGATATGGAGCACCCTACTGGCTATAACCCAAAACACATGAACATATTGTATCAGAGAGATACGTCCACCACAATATTTATTGCAGTATGCTTCACGTAGCGAAAACAAGAAATTGACGAAGTCTAACATCATCGTTGAATGGGTAAGAATAATACTATACACACACACACCACACCACAGTGAAACCCTTACAAATCCCTCTTTCCACAAACTTTTCAAGGACCCACATGATGCTCTCTGCATTACCTTAAGTAACTACAACAAATGTGGGCACATCACAGACACTCCTTTGAAACCCAAGAAAAACACGTTTACCAAGAGAAAGTCCTCTGCTATAATTCTGACTTCTACAAACTGAATACAAGCCACAAACTTCATTCCCAGGCTATGTCAGGTTCTCCATGTACCTAAGCCCCCTATCAACACTTACTGATTTCAACTAAGATCTTCTCCATCTCTTGGTAGTCGGGACTTTTGGTCAAATTTCCTGATTAACTCAGCACCCATTCCCCAGTACCTTCTGAAAGGTCCCTCTGACCACCTCCTGATATCCTTTCCCTCACTTTAACTAAGGTTTTCCCCCCAGGCCCTGTCCTCTGATGCTCCACTAGTTCTTACAAGTAGATTACCAGCTCCTCCCTATTACACTCTCCTCAAAGTCACCTGCCTTCCTCCATGCAATCCTTCTATTTTCCCTTTCTATCACTGGATGGTGACATACAGAAATAACCTGTTTCCAGCCCCAAACCTTGCATGAACCAGGTTCTTCCATGGCATCTAACCCTCCACTCCCTGCATGAAGTACTTGCAATCCCATCGTCCTTAGCCTGAAAATCTAAAACATAACAACTATTACCACGTCTCTCCAAAGCAGACTTCTTATCTTTTGTACTCTGAGTCAACACATGCAGTTTTCCTCCCAGGTCTCCCTCCCACTGCCTGGAGACACAATCTTCCCTTATTAATGTTCTTTGGCCCCTAATTCTCTGCAGTGCCCGAGGGAACGCATTCACCAACATCTTATTCACCTCTGTCTCTGTGGCCAACACTCTATTCTAGGAATGCTAGGCCCCCACATTTCTGTCTCCACATGTCTGTAGGGCTCCCCCACTTGCCCTCCTTCCCAAAGCTTGGAAGTCCACCTTGCTCTCAGCCTTGCCAGCCCAACTCCAGGGAACAGAGGTCCCTTCCTTCCCTTCTCTCCCCCTTGGCCCAAAGGCTGCCATCTACAGGACGCAGCCACGTCTACTAACCAGTTGCTCCTGTCCAGGGTGAAGGCCTAGCCGGGTTTTACAAGGAAGCTGAGCAGGCTCCAGAAATGGAAGATTACCCAGCAGCTGAACTTCAGCGTCAACTCGGTGTCCAGTTTCATATCCATGAAAATGTCTACAATGAAAATTAGTAAACATTAAAGAAATGGAAGAAGACACACAAAAATGGAAAAATCTGCCATGTTCATTCATTGGTAAAATCGACAAAATGAAAATTTCCATTCTACCATAAGCAATTTAGAGACACAATGGGATCCCAACCAAAGGACAAATAACATTTTACCCAGATGGAAAGAAAACAATGCTGAAATTCATATGAAAACACAGAACATCCAAATACTGAAAGTAACCTAACACAACACTGACAAAACTCAAAGCGTCGCAATAACAGATTGTAAGACACAGAACAGGGCAGTTACGATCAAAACAGCTTGGTACAGGCAAAAAAAAAAAAGACATATAGAACAATGGAACAGAAAAGAAACACCTGAAATAACGCACACATCTACAATTACTCTGTCTTTAAAAGTGCTAAAGATCAATCCCAGGTGCAAAGGACAGTTTCTTCAAAAAATAGTCCTGAGAAAACTGGACCTCCACATGCAGAACTCTGAAAGAAGCCTGATACCTTACACCTTATACAAAAAGCAACGAAAAATACTTCAAGGAACAAAATCTAAAACTGAGTATCATCAAATTACTAGAGAACACTAGTCCACTATGGGTACAGGTTCACATCCTTGTCCTCCGTAGGGGGAGGGGAGGCAGACAGCAGTGTCTCGGCTTCCTCACAGTTGAGCTCCCAGCCACCCCCACTGCCTCCAAACCTGTGGATTTGGGGGGAGAACACCGCTGGGAAGCCCTGGATCCCGCATCCTTTGAGGCAGGACCTGGGCATTTCACTGTCCATAATCTCAAAAGCAGCAAATCCCTCTCGCACTCTCCAAGCCTCCCGTGCCGCTGCCGCCAATAACACCGCCAGCCTACCATGACGCCACTCCCGCAGACATCTCTACTTCTCCCAGAGGCCTACTGCGCAAGCGCCATCCAACTAACACCCGCCCCTTCCTCCCAGAATACACAGCGTCAGTGGAAGAGGCCACACTGCCTTGATTAACCAGGGGCAGTGACCTGAGCCCCAGCCTGGCATGACCGCCCTGTGCTCACCATGACCAAATGCGCTCCAAGGGCATCGTTGCTCCTAATCCAGCCCATCAGAAGCTCAGGGCAGTGTGGAGCTCTCTAGACCTCCAGGCTGACACCCAGCCACCCCTGCATGGTGCAGCGCTTTGCCAAACTGCCCCTGGTCAGGGTACTTAACAGCAGATACACGCCCAGCACCCTTGCCCTTGTCTGTCCTGGGGCTGCTGCCAGGAGTCAACCAAGTTCACGATGTGTTGCGCTCTGGACAGAGAGGTAGGGTGGTGACAATCACTGTGTACCTAAATTGCATTTATGAAATGCATGGAATTTGGATCTCTTAAATAAAAAACATATCTTATTAGAACACCTGCACTGTCTTCTCTTGGTCATTTCCTCGCCCCTCCCCTTATGTCACAACTGTAGGTGACTCAGTCGCTCATCACTTTCTCCCTGGGAACAGACTGCCTTGCTGGAAGTCCTAACTCAGAACTTTTCATCCCACACTTGCAGAATACACATTCTTCTCATCAGCCCCTGGAACTTTCTCTAGGACACAACATATGATAGGCCATAAAACAAGCTTAGCAAACTCAGTAACTGAGATCATTTCATGCATCTTCTATGACCAAAATTCAAGGAAATGGGAAATCAACAACTCAAGAAACTCCAGAACATATGCAAACACATGGAGACCAAACAACATGCTCCTGAATGAATGGTGGGTCGTAGGAGAAATCAAAATGGAAATCAAGAAATTTCTGGAAATGACTGAAGATAACAGCACAACACAGCAAAACGTATGGGACACAGCAAATACAACGTTAAGAGGACACTTGATAACAACTTGTGCCTACCACAAGATATTGGAAAGGCATCAAATAAATGAGCTTTTCAATGCATCACAAAACCTGGAAAACCAACAATATCAAACTCCAAATTACTAGGATGACAGAAATCATGGAAATTTGAGAATAAACAAAGTTGAAGCAAAAACATTACAAAAGATCACTGAAATGAAAAGCTGATCAAAAAATTTTTTTTACAAAATTGCTGAAAATCTCCAAAACAAACAAACAAACAAAAAACAGGAATAAGACCCCAATCAGTAAAATCATAAACAAAAAACAAACTGTAATAACAGAAACCCAATAAATAAAAAAAAAATCGGGAATTACTACAATGTACTACAATGTACAATGTACTACAATGTAACCCAAAACACTGCTAGGACTGGTGAAACAATTAAGTGAAGTTACAGGTTACAAATAAACATACTGTAGAAACAGCAGTGTTTAATACATTAAAGATGTATTAAAGCTCTATAATCAAAATTACCATATCTTGATAAAAGAAATCACCAAGAACAGAAATAATGAAATGATTTTTTTTTGATGGATTCGAAGAATGAGCATCATTAAAATGTCTACCTTGGCCGGCACCACAGCTCAATTGGCTAATCCTCCACCTGCGGAGCCGGCACACCAGGTTCTAGTCCCGGTCGGAGCGCCAGATTCTGTGGCAGTAGCTCCTCTTCCTGTCCAGCTCTCTGCTGTGGCCCAGGAGTACAGTGGAGGATGGCCCAAGTCCTTGGGCCCTGCACCCGCATGGAGACCAGAAGAAGCACCTGGCTCCTGGCTTCGGATCAGCGTGGTGCACCGGTCACAGCGTGCCGGCCGCAGCGGCCATTGGGGGGTGAACCAAAGGTAAAAGGAAGACCTTTCTCTCTCTGTCTCTCTCTCTCACTGTCCACTCTGCCTGTCAAAAACAATGTCGACCTTACCTAATGCAATATAAAAATTCAATTAAATTGTTATCAAAATATCAATGACATTCTTTGTGGAAAAACCAAAAAAAAATGCCTAAAATTCATACAAATCACAGAAGATCCAGAACAGCTCGGGGGTTCCGTACCAAAAAACAAAACAAAACAAAAGTTCCTGGATGCCTCCCAACACCTGATTCAAAGCATACTACAAATCAACACTAGTTAAAACATCACAGCAGTGGCATAAAATGTGACACATTGACCAATGGAAAAAAAACAATGCAAGTCCCAAAATTAATACCAATATGTAGAGACATCTGATTTTTATAAAAGGTCTCAGATACTCACTGCTGTAAGGAAAATCTCCTCAAAAACTGGTGTTGGCAAAACTGCATTTATGTACGAGATTGAAATTAGATCCATTACTCACAGAAAAGAAGAAAATCAACTCAAAATGGATCAAGGACTTTATTAAATGTAAGACCAGGGACTATGAAGCTTTTGGAAACAAATGTAGAGTAAGTACTAGAAGACACTTAAGTACAGATTGACTCTTAGAAAAGACCTTCAGGGCAAAGCAACAAATCAAAACTAATCAAATGGGATTATATGAAAGTCAACAGCTTATGGACAGCAAAGGAAATCATCAATAAAGAGTCCTCCAACAGAATGAGCAAAAATATCTGTGAGCTACCTACCTATCTGAAAAAGGATTAATGTACAGAATACATCCGCAACTTAAAAAAAATAAAATGAAACAATGAATCCAGATATGAAATGGCCAAAGGAGCTGAACAGAGTTCTCCAGAGAAATACAAATGGCCGCTGGTGCCGCGGCTCACTAGGCTAATCCTCCACCTGCAGCACCAGACACCAGTTCTAGTCCTGGTCAGGGTGCCGGATTCTGTCCCGGTTGCTCCTCTTCCAGTCCAGCTCTCTGCTTTGGCCCGGGAGTGCAGTCTCGGAGGACGGCCCATGTCCTTGGGCCCTGCACCCCATGGGAGACCAGGAGAAGCACTTGGCTCCTGGCATTGGATCAGCTCGGTGTGCCAACCACCGTGCACCGGCCACAGCAGCCATTGAGGGTGAACCAACGGCAAAGGAAGACCTTTCTCTCTCTCTCTCTCTGTCCACTCTGTCAAAAAAAATTAAAAAAAAAATACAAATGGCCAACAATTCTATGAAAAAAATGCTCAATATCATATCACAAGCCATCATGGAAATGCCATCCAAACCACAATGATATGAGCTAACCCTTTCAAAATGGTTAAGCTCCAAAGGACAGAGTCACAATGATAAGGTGGAAGTGGGAAAAGGGGAACACCTACACACTGCTGTTAAATACGTAAATTAGTGCAGCTGCTATGGAAAACTGTAGGAAGACGACGCCCTGGGGGCAGGAGGAACCTGAGAGAATGGCCTTTGGGGCCGGTGCGCCTGAGGCACCTGAAGCACCTGTGGAAGGGGCAGGTGGAGAGGGGAGGGAAGAAAGGTGGGGGACAGGGGAGGGTAGCATGGTGTGTGCAGGCTGGGCTGCAGACTCCCCACTGGAAGGCAGGGCCTGGGGGAGGTCCTGGTCTCAATCTAGGTCCATGAGGACCCCAGGTCTTCATTTATAAACCTGCCAGCCATGCCTAACTCCACCACTCAGCCTGCACCTCTATCTCTACAGCTCCCTTCTGGGTCCTGCTCAGAGAGGGGCACCCTCACCCATCTCCCACAGAGCTGCAAGTGACAGGGTGAGTGGCAGATGCCACCATGGGGGCCAGAACCTCCCTTCCCACATCCCCCAACAGGCAATCCCTGGAGACCACTAGGAGGTGGCTGGTCAGGTGCCCATCAGTGGGAGCTGCCACCCTGAAACTAGAGCTAGACACAAGCAGGCCTGCTCGACACCTCCTCCTGTCAGTGGCCACCTGACCAGAGAGGCCCACACTGTTGCCCTCTCCTGTCCACTGAGCTGAACACAGGTTGGGAAGGTGAGGTGAGGGATCAGTGCTGGCTGTGGTGGGTGGAGTGGCATCATCATAGGCACTTGTTCTAGTCCTGGCTGCCCCGTGAACACACCTGGGAAGGCAGGGGTCAGAGGATGCAAAAGCCCCACCCCTAAACCACTCTTCAGGGATGTGGCCATGGCTGAGCCATGGTGGCCACAAAAGCAACAGACAGCAGCCATGTGGAAGCCAACGGTAAGAGCAGCTTCAGACCCCATGTTAAGGACCCAGAATCACCTGAGAGGCCCTAGAGATGCCAGGGACCAAGGACACAGCATTACTGGTGCTGACGAGGTGCGAGGGGGAGGTCCAGACGTGGACAGACCTGGGGCAGCCAGGAATCCCAAGTACCTGCACCACTCCACAGCCTCTCTCCCGGCTCACAAGCACCCAAGACAGGAGCTGGGAATAGCTGGGACTCAAGCTGGCACCCGAAGGCCATGCCAGTGTTGGCTGTAGGCCCAGCTGTGCCACCTCGCTGTCCCTGATTCCACCAAACATCAAGTGCCTGAGCTCCTAGAGCTCTGAAGGCGTCCCCAGTGCTGAAAATGGTAGGGTTTTAGGGTTTTAAGATTTTTTTTATTTAAGATGCAGATTTGCAGAGAGAGAGAGAGAGAGATCTTCCACCTGCTGGTTCATTCCCCAATGGCTACAGCAACAAGAGCTGGCCAGGATGAAGCCATTAACTATGTGCACACCACACACTTGCACAGTACACATACACATGTGAACCTACAGCACACAGAACACACACATACACACACACTAACATCACCGTCACGGTCCACACAGGTGATCTTACTCCAGGAAGGGGGTGGCCTGCCTGCTGTGGTCCACAGGGAAAACAGAAGCAGTAACTGCACCCAGGAGCCACCAGGGTGGGCATAACTCTGACGCTGGGGCTCTGAGCAGAGTCCAGGGGCAGCAATGTGCTCTGCCCCTCCCCGCCTTCAGAACGTGGAGTCCTGGGGCCCTAAGGGGCAGCTGCGAGGACTGGGTTTCACATTGGTTTTTGTAGGAATGTGTGGAACCCCTTGGCACTGAGAACGTTCCTGGTCCCAGGTGGGTCTGGGCCAGGAGGAAGACTCCCTGACCAGGCCAGCTCTGACTCTTGCTCAGGACCTGCATGGCTGCTTCTCCTCCAGTGCAAGACACAAACACATCCAGAGAGAGGGAACAAGAGGCCCAGGGCCAGCGCACTGAGGACAGGCCTCTGCCTGGGACCATGGCCTGGCCCTTCAGGGTCTCCGACACTCACCAGGATGAAAGCAGCCATGGGGTGTGGGTGGAGACTTAGGGTCCTGGGTTCTCCAGTGCCGGTACCAGCGTGGCCCTGCGTCCTCTCCAAGGTGAGCATCAGAAGGAGATTGGCGGGGGGAGGCAGCCCCTTAACCTGGGCCCTTTTGGATATCTGCAGTCACCTGTGTCCACGACAGGTGCTGGTGTCCTTTGCGCTTTGCTGGGTCCCTTCTCAGGGTGCATTTCTGAGTGGAGACCATGGACCCCCGAGCCCACTGCCCCCTCCTCAGCACCCCTCCACTAGGGCCAGCGACCCGCCTGCTGCTCAGGCTCACTGAGGGGGTCTGTCCCACACACCCCCCAGCCCATGCCAGTTGAAGCATGTGCAGGAAGGGCCTGTGGGCTGAAGTATGCATCCGGGCACAGCCCATTCAGAGTTCACTTCTGGACTGAGTGTGTGTGCGCTGCATATGTGTGACTGCAGAGCTCAGAGCCAGGCTACAACTGGCTGCATGTAAAACAAACTCAGGAGCTCCAGAGGGGACAGTGTTCCAGAAGCCGCATTCAAACTCCATAGGGAATAGGAGGACCTGGGCTCCTCTTCCTTTAAGCGTACTTCAGGGCACCCACTCTCAGCAGCTGCCCCCAGTGTCCACCAGCTCCTGAGGCCATCGCCTGTCCTCTGGCAGCTCCCAGCCTCTAGCGCCCAGCAGGTTCCTAAGGGTGGGGCCCACATGCTTGCAGGGTACATACCTATCAGTGAAGGAGCCCGTGATCTGAGGCCACAAATGCCAAACCAACCGTGAAACACTGTGGGCGAGGACAGTTAGGGAGGCCCATGGCTACCTTAGCTGGCTCTGGACACCAGTGACCAACCTCTCTCCCTGCAGGGTTCTCACCCCCAACTCCACACCCCTGGACCCCCTCAGCCAAGGCTTCGACCAGCGTTCTTCATAGAAATGGTCCAGGCAGCTATAGACACTTCACTGACCTTGCTGAGGATGGCCCACAGAAGTGCAAGTCCTGGGACGCGGGGTGGTTTCTTCCCACTTGAAAAGCTGGAAATGCGGCCAGGGGTATGGCGGCCCATGGTCTGCAGGAGGCCGGGGTCAGCAGGATCGTCGGGCGACATAGAGCCTGGCTCTGAGTCCCACAGCTTCGTCGAGGATGAGGCCCCGCCATGAAAAAACTCCCCCAGCAGAGAACGGGAACAAACATTCCTGGGGAGAAACCAGGTTTTGCAGGGGCCAGCCAGGCCAGGGCAGGTGGGGCAGGGATACAGAGGCTACAGGGGTTGGGGCACAGTGTCAGCTTCTGTGGCTTCTGTCTCCCTCTAACTGTGCCCTTCCCCACTGTGGTTGTGGAAGCTCCCCAGGAGGGCCTGGCCTCGCTGACAGATGCACCAGGGACCCCCAGCAGCCCAGATCCTGGAAGGCAGCTTCCCACACCACAACACAGTCCCAGTTGCTGACTCTGGAGGTTTCAACGGGTGGGTGTGGGTGGCAGAACCTGCTGTCCCTCTTGGCACTGGGTCCGTGTATATGAGCCCCTCACCCAAAGGCAGAGACCTGGGTGGGACCCCTTGGGGTGGGGAGGGAGAAATGGTTCCAAGAGGGTGGGGGTGTGTGGCCTGGCAGCTGGAGGTACTCTAGTGGCCGGGCACAGTGACTCTTGGGCAGGTGCCTGTCCATGGGCAGTTTGCTCCACTGCCCACTGCTCCAATTGTTCTAGGCCCTTCCCTTGGCACTGGGCCAGTGTGGAGCCGAGGCCAGCATTGATGTTCAATCTGCCTAGACTCTATAATTTGAAGATTTCATTTTCTAAGAATTTTTTCTTTATTTATTTAAGAAGGAGGGAGCGAGAGCGCACGCTCCTCCTAGGTGTCTGAAGTTGCTGGAGCCCCAGGATGAAGCTGGAACCCAGAGTGGAGCCTGGATGGAAACCCCAGGTCTCATCCTGGTGCTCTCACTGCTGGACCCAAAGATTGCCCAAGCAGTTCACACACACTGCATCATGGGTCTAATTAAATGCATTGTGGGTCTAATCATGGGTATGAAATAGGGAATTGGAGTTTAGAATACCTTGGCAACTGAAACATCATACTGTCCTTAGCTAAGATCTTAGATAACATAAAAGATGGGGGCAAGGTTCATCTGCCAGTGTCCTTGTCCCATTGTGGTATGTTCAATTTGTCATCGTTTTCTGGTGACTGTCAATTGAGGGTAAAGCCCACAGCACTGACCTCTTACCCAGCCTGAGGAAGACCTGCGAGCAGAGAAGGGGCAGCTCTGTTGTGATTGATTGAAGGAATGCTGTACACTTACTCATCCCTGCTCTGGGGTTAGTTTAAAACTAGGTTCCATTGGTCATGAGCCCTGTAGAGCCCGTCTACACCTGCCACCCCGTGATGGGCTGGGAAGTGGACCAATGTGGAGAGAGTGGCCAGTGCACAAGAGCCAGTGTGCCTCCACACGTGGCTCACAGTCCCACTGAGGGCAATGACCTCACCTGCACAGAATGTTGGCACAGGCCAGACTTCTGTGATGTCATCCTCCGTGGCAGTTATTAGGCCTTGCTGCCAGCACAGTGGCACAGGGACAGCGCCGAGGGCAGGGACAGAGCAGGGAGAGCAGGTCTGTGGGGAGAGGGCCTGGGGAGCAAGGGAGTGGTGGACATGGGTCAGGCAAGGGAGAAAGGCAGGATGGGGGTATGGGCCACGGGCAGGGTAATGGAGGATGGGGACAAACCGAGTGGTTCAGGGGTGGGCCAGGGTGGGCCGAGGGAGGGCGAGGGAGGGAGAGGGTGGGTGAGGGTGGGCCGAGGGAGGCGAGGGTGGGTGAGGGTGGGCCGAGGGAGGGCCAGGGTGGCGAGGTGGGCGAGGGAGGGCGAGGGAGGGCGAGGGTGGGCTGAGGGAGGGCGAGGGAGGGCAAGGGTGGGCGAAGGTAGGCCGAGGGAGGGCGAGGGAGGGCCGAGGGTGGGCCGAGGGAGGGCGAGGGAGGGCGAGGGTAGGCCGAGGGAGGGCCGAGGGAGGGCGAGGGTGGGCCGAGGGAGGGCGAGGGAGGGCCGAGGGAGGGCGAGGGGTGGGCGAGGTGGGCCGAGGGTGGGCCGAGGGAGGGCGAGGGAGGGCCGAGGGTGGGCCGAGGGAGGGCGAGGGAGGGCCGAGGGAGGGCGAGGGTGGGCGAGGGTGGGCGAGGGTGGGCCGAGGGAGGGCGAGGGTGGGCCGAGGGAGGGCCGAGGGAGGGCTGAGGGTGGGCTGAGGGAGGCTGAGCATGGGCTTCTTGTGGAATTGGGAGGGAGAAGGGGAACACGGGGTGATGGTGGTGGCAGGCATGGAATGGGGCACTGGATCCAGGACAATGGGGAGAGCAGTGGAAGAGGAGACTGGGGGGGCAATGCGGGGCTCTCTGTAGCATTCATGCTGCACCATGGGTACGTGGGGAGAGTGTTGGGTATTTCTCAACCCAACCTGGCCTTCCCTCCCTTGTGAAATGGCAAAGGGTTTGAATCCCTGGAACCAGATCCAACTCATTGCCTGTGTTTATAAATAAAGGTTCCACATTGATCTGAAAACTACCATGTGGTGTGTAATTTTTTCCACAAAGATTTATGCATTGGAAACAGAAATGAGCAAAAGAGGTGGTGACAGAGAGGTCTTCCTTCCTCTGGTTCACTTCCCACAGGACCACAACAGTCAGGTAGGGGCCAGGATGGAGCCTGGAGCAGGGAACTCCTACTACTCTCCTAAATGGGTGGTAGGGCCAAAGTACTTGGGCCTGGATCTGCTGTATTCCTAGGCACACAAGCAGAAGACTGGATGGGAAGTGGAGCAGCTGAGACTTGAAATAGTGCTCCAACGTGGGAGCTTAGCTGAGCAGAAGCTCCAAAAGGTTGCTCTCTTGTGAAGTGTCAGTGAGTTAGAGTTTTGCACACCCTAGGGATGGAAGGTGGTGTTCCATCTGCTAGTTCACAGTGCACACCACACTGGGTACTACCTGCCTGAGACAGTGTTGGGACCCCCACAGGCATACATACAATCTTGGCACCTCCCCTTGCCAGCTGAGGGAGGCCTGGTTGTGAGTGGAGAGCTTCACTGAAGAGGGCCGACTCACCTCGTGGGACTAGAGAGGGGAGGGGAGGTCCTGAGCCCAGCCGGATCCTAGGCTGTGTCCGGTGCTGAAGGAGGCTCATGTCTGGCTTTCCCCAGCAATGTGTCCGACAGCTATGAAACACGACAAAACCAACAACTTTTAAGGCCTCTGGGAATCCACCAAAAAAACCCCAAACCAACCAACCACAAAACAGACAGCACTGATTGATGGAGAATTGCTGACTGCCCAGGAAAGAAGAGTGGGAGAAGGTGGTGTGCTGGCCTGGAGCTGTGTCCCTTTCCTCCCCACCCTGAGCTTGTGGTGCTGGTCAGGGTGGGTAAAGGTGTCTGTCAAAACCAGCAGTTTGGTTTGTTGGACATGGTGCTGAGGGGAGAGTAAGGAACCCATGCTCAAGTCCTCACCAGTAAAAAGAGCAAACTTCACAGGACAGAATGCAGGAAAGTGGCAGTCCTGCTGGCCAAAGGTTAGAGGCCCTTTGGGACAGGGGAAGACCAGTGTGCCAAACAATTTTTTATTTTTTTTTTATGATTAGGTATTTATTTGAAAGCCCAAGATACAGAGACTGTGACATAGAGAGATCGTTCCATCCAACTGGTTTACTCCCCCAGGTGGTTGCATCAACCACTATGGGACCAGGCCAAAGCCGGGAGTCAGGAGTCAGGAGTGGAGACTTCCCGGTCTCCCGTGAGGGTGGCTGGGCCCCAAGCACTTGTTCCATCTGCCACTGCTTTCCCCAGGATATTCGGGAGAATCCTGATCAGAAGTGGAACAGCCTGGATACAAACCAGTGCCCATATGGGATGCTGGCATTACAAAAGGTGACTGAATTTTTTTATTGATTGGAAAGGCAGGGACACACAAAAGAGAAAGGGCCAGATGGGGAGAACGTCCATCCTTGTTTAGCCCTCCAAGTATACACAACATCCATGGCTGGGCCAGGCAGAAGCCAGGACCCAGGCATTCAACCTGGGTCCATGTGAGTGGCAAGGACCCAACAACTTGAGCCACTACCTGTTGTCTCCCAGGGTGGGTATTACAGGAAACTGGAAACTGCAAGGAGAGCTGGGAATTGAACTCAGGCCCTCTGTTATGGGATGGGAGCATCCAACAGGTGGTTGTCATCACTGTGCCACACAACCCTCCCCCAAAGAGAAGTTGCCAGGAGAATCCTGGATGCCATGGTTTGGGCTAGACTGAACTCAGCAACCAGGAGCTTCATTCACATCTCCCACGTGGGAAAAGCAGAGAGATGACCCAGGTCTTTTGGCCTCTGAATCCACTGGGGATACCTGGGGGAAGCTCTCTGAGCCATGGCGGCCGAAGATCTGCTCCACCCATCCATGAGAGAGAGCCAATGTTCCCAGAACAGCTCTCTGTGGCTGCTCCACCTGGGGTTTTGAGCCCCTGAGCCTCTGATACGTTGAGTGCCTGGGAGTACCTCACAGTTTTACCTGGGTACACAGCCCCCATCAATCCTCCCAGCCAGACTCAAGGTGCAGTGGGGAACAGGGACTTTGCTCTCTGGCAATATCCCTGGATCCCACAGCGTTGCACCAAGCGCTCACTCGCCACAGCCCCTCCTTGTTTCACAATGCACCCTTCTCCCCACCATCCTCCAGCTGAACTGCCAGCTTGCTGGGGCACAATGCCCAAGACCTTGCTCAGCTGCTACTTATACCCATAATGCCCACCTGCCCTCTCTCAGCCACCTGTTTGTGGGGAAACGGGAGAGGGAAATGTGCCCCTTTGTCCCACTGGGTAAGTGGGTGCCCTGTCGCACTCAGGACTCTAGGCCGCATTCACAGACAGCGCAGTCGACCAGGCTCTCCCTCCAGCTAGATCACCAGTGTCACAGGTTTCTGCACTCTGATCTCACTCACTCTCCAAAGCTGATGCAGCTCCTGGGGTCATGTGCTGTGTCTGTGCTTGCTGCTTTGCGTCCACGTGGGCCTTCCACCATGATCCACGGTGTCCTTCTTCCTTCCTCAGCACTTCCTGTAGTTTGCTCTCCAAGTCTCCCCTAAGAATATACTTCATCCACTTTTTTTTTTTGCTGTTTTCCCCTAGCCTAAAGCAGTACACCCCTTCCCCATTCTGCTCTTTTGGAATCTCCAAGATGCTTTACTTTAAAATGGCTTGCCTCATGAACGGGCATAGCAACACAGCAGAACACAGTTTATTGTTTAGAGGTCTGGCATAAGCAAAATTCAGTTCAGAATACTAATGTTAGATTTCGTGGCATTTATTCTCACTAGTGATTTTCAGAGGTCTTACTGACAGTAAGGAATTCTTTGGGAAATTATCAGTTGCCTTGCTGAAAACCACTGGGTTACACATTGTTTTGGGAGTGAACATTGTGCCCTCCTTAGAACATTAGTCAAGGCCTTGATTAGTCACTCGTTTGGCAAACAACTCTGCTGCATGAAAATACAAAGGGAGAGACAGGAGTGACATTTGCATTTTGATTTAGATAGTACTTTGTTCTCAACTATTTATGGTCTCCTTTCCTCTTCAGAATGCACTTGTACACAACACACACCACTACACACACACATTCCTCTGATATAAGTTTCTGTACAGAGAATCGAGCCAATTAACTGAGACATGAGCAATGTAGAGAGTAGAGTGTAGGATGAGAAAATTTCACTGCTCTACATTATATCAAACACGATGAAGATCACTGCCGGTTGTCTGGATGGTCTGTTTTAGGGATCATATGAGACCCAGCTTTTCCCCTTCTGGTTTTCCATTTAGCTGTGCTTTCAGATTTTTTTTTTTCATTTTTTTGGTAATCTTCCTTTAAATATCTGTACAAGAGTTACATTGCAATGTGGCATTGCTACCAGTACTCTGGCTATATGATACTTATTTAACACACCTTTGGTAGTCTGAGAAAAATTGATGGGTTAGTTTTTTCTGGAGCGATTCCTTTACTTCACTTATTTTAACCCATTGCTTTTGCTAATGCTGTTTATGAGAAGTTGCCTTCACTTCTTGCTCCTGGAATCAGGACTATCATGAATATTCTGCTTTCTGACTCCTGGCAGCTCAGGTGAGATGACTCACCCTTTTGAAAGCCTTACTCAGCAGTTGCACTCCCTAGAATATTTTCTGACTTCTTTCAAAATATTTTAACCAAAAAATGAAGGCAAAAGAGTTGAAATTAAGTTATATACATATATTGCATATCTTATCTTTGTTTTTCAAATTTATTTCTGTAGTGGAATACAGGCACTCTAAGGGCTAAGCCATGCATATACTACAATAAACATTTATGGAATGTGGTATTTATTTTCAAAAGCCTCAACAAAAAGCAGCAGTAAAGCTGAAATATCATATGTTTGAGAAATAATAATACCAATATCCAAAATGTTAGAATGATGCAATTATTTGTTTCTGACTACAGATTTCCTGATATGATCATGGTATATAGTTTAGCATTAGACCAAGATTTATTGCCTCATAAAAACAACATTAAAATAATTTATTTTGTGTGAATTAGAATTCTAAGACATAAAAAATGAGAATTAAACCTTGATTCAAGAAATTTTTGAAAAGTGCATTGAAGGATCATAGGCAGCATACAAAAGAACCCCTGAAGAAGATAGTGAACCACAACCAGGAGCAAGACACAAATAGAGTCCTCTGTGTGGCTGAGATTCTAAACTACAACTTGTCCCCAGATCTTGATCTTTCGATTTGCTTACCGAAGGCTCCCACTGTCACTGATGCAGGCTTTTGGTGTCACTATCGTACCAGTGCAGGCACTGCTGCCTGTGAAAGCTCAGTGACCTTACAACTGCTGAAGTCACTGCCAGAAATGACAACTTAGCAGCTTCTTTCCAGCTGAGGGCAGCTGTCTGTGTTTGGCTACATGACAGCATATGTCTACCCTAGGGGTAATACACACCAGGAAATCATGTATTTGGCATATTTACTTCTTCTTGGCAACAATTCCAAAACTGGAAAACAACGTTGCCAATATAAAATGTTACACCCTCTGCACATTCACCCAGCATTCTGTAATATCATTTGTAAAAGTCTTTTTTTTTGAAAGGCAGAGAAAGAGTGAGGGGGGGGTCCCCTATCCACTGGTTCACTCCCCAGATGGCTGCAATGGCAGGAGCTGCGCTGATCTGAAGCCAAGAACCAGGAGATTCCTCCAGGTCTCCCACGCTGGGGCAGAGGCTCAAGCACTTTGGCCATCTTCTGCTGCCTTCCCAGGCCATAGCAGAGGGCTGGATCAGAAGTGGAGCAGCCAGGACTCAAACCTGTGCCCATATGGGATGCTGGTACTCCAGGTGGCAGCTATACCTGTACATCACAGCGCCTGCCCCCAATATCTTCTGAACTCTAGTTGGCCCCATAATATATTCTTGACCAGTAAGGTGCACCTGGAAATGAGCTGAACATGGTCCAAATACTTAAGTGCTACCACTCACATTATAAACTTGGATGGAGTTCCAGGCTCCTGACTCCATCAGGGATTACAGCCATTCTGTTAGTGAACCAGAGAAAGATCTCTTTTCCCACTATGTCTCTTTGTCTCCCCCTCTTTCTCTGTCACTCTGCCTTTTAAATAATAATAATAAAATGGCCAACAAACACTTGAAAAAATACTTAGGATCACTAATCATTAGGGAAATGAAAATCAAAACCACAATGAGGTTTCATGTCACTCCACATAGAATGGCACTCACACAGAAATCAACAAATAACAGAGGCTGGCGAGCATGCGATGAAAAAGGTACTCTGGTCCACTGTTGGTGGGAATGTAAACAGGGGCAGCCACTGTGGAAGACAGTATGGAGATACCTCTATAGACCTACCCTATGATCCAGCCACCCCACTGCTGCAAATTGTCTTCAAACAGTACTTTATACGTTTTGTGTCTGTGTGGGTGCTTTGTGTCTGTATGGGTGCAAACTGTTGAAATCTTTACTTAGTATAGACTTGGTATTCTATATAAAAATAATTAAAAATGAATCCTAATGAAGAATGGGATGGGAGGAGTATGAGGTGGGACGGGAGTTGGGGTGGGAGGGGGCTCTGGGGGGGAAGAACCACTATATTCCTAAAGCTGTACCTATGAAATTTGTATTAATTAAATAAAAGCTAAAAAATTAAGAGTGGGAATGGAATAGGAAGAAGGGTTAGAGCATGGGTGGGAGGAGGATAGGGTAGCAAGTATCACTGTGTTCCTAAATCTGTATATATGAAATACATGAAACTTGTATAACTTAAATAAAATTAAAAAATAAGTGATTCCAAGATCTGCAAAAAGAAAAATTAAACAAATACAAGAAAGCAGAACACATTATAATCTTAGTGTCCCATTAACAGACAGTGTCAACTACCAGTCTTCTGAGTGAGCCCAAACACCAGTAGTCTCAACTGACATCATAACCCCCTGAAGGGTCACAGACAGGAACTGATCAACGGAGTCCAGAAAGCTCACTAAATCCACTGAGACATGAGAGTGCAAAACAAACTATTCCTGGAGACAACATTATGGCATTTCAGGTAAAGCTACCACCTGCAGGGCTGGCATCCCATACAAGTCAGTTCAAGTCCCAGCTGCTCCCTGCTAATGTGCCTGGGAGAGCAGCAGATGAGCCAAGTCCTTGGGACCTTGCTACCTATGGTAAAGATCAGGATGCAGTTACAGGCTCCTGGTTCAGAGTGGCCCAGCTCGAGCTCTTGTGACCATTTGGGGTATAAACCAGAGGGTATAAAATGTCTCTCTGGGGTCCAGTGCTGTGGGGTAGTGGGTAAAGCCACCACCTGCAGTGCAAGTGCCCATGGTGCCAGTTTGTACCCTGGCTACCCCACTTCCAATCCGGCTTTCTGCTGTGGCCTGGGAAAGCAGTAAAAAATGGCCCAGGTACTTCTACCCCTGCACCGTGTGTAAGAACCAGAAGAACATCTTGGCTCCTGGCTTCAGATATGCCCAGTCTGACCATTGAGGCCATTTGAGGAGTGAACCAGCAGCCAGAAGACCTTTCTCCACCCCTCCCCTCTCCCTCTCTGATTCTCTGTAACTGTCAAATAAATCAAAGAAAGAAAAGTGGCCCTGATGAGGGATGCAAACATTTCTTAAAAAAATAAAGAAAATGTCTATCTTTCCCTCTCTCTGTAGCTTTGCCTTTCAAATAAATAACCCTTTTAAAAGAATATTATTCAGGACGGTGCTGTGGCACAGCAGGTTAAGGCCCTACCCTGAAGTGCCAGCATCCCATATGGGCGCCAGTTCTAGCTCCACTTCCAATCCAGCTCTCTGCTATGGTCTGGGAAAGCAGAAGATGGCCCAAGTCTTTGAGCCCCTTGCACCCACATGGGAGACCCAGAAGAGGCTCCTAGCTCCTGATTTTGCATCAGCCCAGCTCTGGCTGTTGTAGCCATTTGGGGAGTGAACCAACGGATGGAAGGCCTCTCTCCTCTGTCTCTACCTCTCATCCAAATAAATAAAGATAAATCTGTAAGAAAATAATATATTATTAAGTCATCACATTTTGAAATAATGTTACATTAGATATAAGAAAAGAAAGTAATTTTGCAAATGCAGAAGTAGTGTGCCTATCTCCACAGAAAGAAGGTAGAGGAGGAGAGGAGGAGAAGAAAAAGGAACCAAAATAAAAGATACAGGGTAACTACAGATTTAGGAATCAGAGGTAGACATTTGGCCTAGAGGTTAAATTGTTGGTTGGGTTGCCCATGTCCCATACCTGAGTACTTGGTCTCAACTTCCATCTTTGCCCTAGATTCCAGTTTCCTGCCAATGCAGAACCTAGGAAGCAGTGGTAATGACTCAAATAATTTGGTCCTTGACATGCACTTTGGACAAAGAATAAACAGAAACAATTCTGCAAATTATAACTGGCCCTGTTTCCTTCAAACCACCAAAAGCAGACAAGATAGTAACTGAAAAATAGTACCATTTCTTGAGTGATAGGGACTCTGCTAGATGCCTCCTGTAAGAGTCTTTATTTTTCTTTACTGTTAATAATCATTGATCACAATTTTAAGATATGCCACTTCTTGTTATAAGGTTAAAAAAAAAACACAAGCTCAGAGAGGATAAGTAATTTTCCCATCATTACACAGCTTAGGGCTGCCACAGACCGATTGTGGAGGTAAGTCTTTCTAAACCCAAAGGCAAATTTTAACTGGCAACACTTGGCAGTTTTTTTCCTGTTATT